AGCCCAGGAGTTGGAGGTTGCTGTGAGCTGAGATGCCACGGCACTCTACCCAGGGGGACAGCTTGAGGCTCCTGTCTCAAAAAAAGAAAAAAAAAGATACTTGGTGGCTTTTCCTATATGCATACCTTTGATGACCAGTACAGTTTCACATGTGCTTTTAAAGTGAATACAGAAGATTTGGATCTCTTGACTTACCTGACTTTGTGGGGTTTTCTGGATCAAATGAATAGTGAACGCTTTTCAGAGATCATCTCAGGCAGCTTAGGGGAAGAGCCTTTCCTCATTTTTCAACCTCAGTATAAAGTTTTCGGTTTTACTTTATGCCCAGTGGGAGGAGGAGGGGGTGGATATTAGCACAATCTGGTGCAAAATCTGTGATTTTGTCCCCATCACGAGCTCCAGAGATGTCAGGATTTCTGTGGCCACAGCCACTAACCTCAGATATGTCAGATAGTTGAAAGCACCAGGGTTCAGAGGGACAGGGTGACTCCCCCAAGTTGCCACTCTGTTTCCAGTTAAGGTAGGGGAAGTTGGTGTTCCAGTTCCATTTCCTCTAGAAGTAAGGAGTGGGTCAAAAGAAACAAACCCACACACAGAGTCCTTCTTCAACCTCAACTTTCTCTATTACGTGTGACAAGGACATAGTGTGTTCACCCTTGACCGTTGAACACACTTTAAAAACGTGAAAATGGCAGAAGCGCACCCGTCATTTCATTTTAATGTGCAAAAATAAAATTACAACCCCATACTAACTGTTATAAACAAACGAAGTGGTTCTCAAACTTGAACATGTATTAGAATCACCCTGAGGGTTTGTTAAAACATCCCCAGTTCTGTGTGCCTGGAGTGGGACACTGAGAATTTGCGTCTCTAACAAATTCCAAGGTGCTGCTGGTGCTGCTGGTCTGAGGACCACTTGTTGAGAATCACTAAACTAGTAACAGCGAATTTCATAGTGTAAAGATGAAGACAGATATTGGCTGGTTGAGGGACTGACGGTTCCACTGTTGGGCCGAAGGAAAACATTAAGTATGAAAGAGAAGCAACGGCGTCTTCCCCTTTGACTAGATTTTGCCCAAAAAAAGGAAAAATAAAGGAGAAAGGAAGAGCCATGCTGCCTGGGTCAAGGGGCAGTTGCGATATTTTAAACCCGGAATCTGGTTGTGTCATCCCTCCGGCCCTAGGGGAATATTCAAGAGCATTCTTTCTCCCAGTGCCCATTACCGCAGGCTGGACAGGGGAGGGAGAAATAACCAGTTTTTCTCTCCTTTCCTGGATACCAGGCCTCGCACTCGCTATCTGCAACTTATCAGAACAAAGCCCTGCCTTTGAGCCAATGTAAAGAAAGTTTCTATCTTACGTCTATGCCAGGTCTTGTTAAACTTCGAATGTAAACCTTTTGAATTTGATTTTGTTCTCCTAGACTTCCCAGGCTGGGTACTGAACTACAGCCCCCACCCTTGTCAGGCCATTTTTACCCCCAAGGAAATTATAATTTACTTTACACGATTGAGTGGGGAGCACTCTGGGAGCCTCCACCTCACCAACTGAAAGTACAGCCGAGCTTTTCAGCACTTGAGGTTTGCGGCTCAGACCCATTTTATAGCAAGCTGGCTGCTGCGCTCTACCTCTCGAGTAGGTAAGGACACGTAAGGACACGTAACAGTGAGTTTTGGATTCAGAACTCGGGTTTTCTTGGGTTGCTGTGAAAAACTAAAGAACACCAAGGGGGCACCCGGATTTGAACCGGGGACCTCTTGATCTGCAGTCAAATGCTCTACCACTGAGCTATACCCCCTCTACTGGTCATAGCTTGGTAAATGTCTTTGACATTGATTCCAAAATATTTATGTTCACTATCATTTGTTCAAAATTAGTGTCTTTTTGTTAGATAACACTGTGAGGAGGGACAAATTAAAACAGCGATCTGAGACCAACACCCGCTGGCAGTTTGAAAGCATGTTAACTTATGTACTAATCTGCCCTTTCTAAGATCCAATTCTTTATCCACAATCCCCTCATCTTTCTTCCCTAAGGAATCAGAAAATAAAATTCTTATAAAACTAGATAGGGAAAAGTATTTCCCTAGTTGCTCAAAAAGGGGAAAAAATTGCAACAATGTATCACTTCTGTATTATGTAATTATATATTGTTATTTCTGTATTATGTAATTATGCATCTTGAATAAGTATCCAAGTTTTAAGTTGCTACGTCCAAACAACATTTAAGGGGCCGTTTTTTGGTCTGTGGCCAGTGTAGCTTGTTCTGTAAACCTGGATCTTGCTCTTGCTCTGTAAACCTATCTTCCTAAATAAACTGCATTTCACAACTTGCAAAAATATATATATTACATACATTTGTGCTTTGATAGATACTGTTGAGTTACCAAGAAAACATAGACATGTGCTTGGGATTAAAGTTTCATTAAAAAAACAAAAAACACACAGCTAAAAACGCACCTCCACTGAAAGACCTTCCTGGCTATAACTCAAGTGGTCAACCTCTGTATGTAGCAGGTACTGTGTGTCCCTCTCTAGGTGCAGGACATACAGTGAACAACAGAAAGACACAGAGGTTCTCATTTTTACTGAGTTTACCACCTACTGAGAACAGACTAGAAACAAATGCACAAATAAATAAATAAGGAAATGCCCAGCAGTGATAAGGGAAATCATAAAACCAAGAAAATGATGTGTTAAGGAGGTATTACAGGTTTATTTCAAGTCAGATGAACATGGAAGGCCTTTTTGGGTAGGTGATTTTACAATTACAAGACATTCCAAATAAAGGAAATGGCTACTACACAGACCGTAAGGTCACAGTAGCTGGAGGAAGGTGGGCCAAAGGGAGAGTAA